GGGCTGACTCTGGTCTGGGGTGAGGCCCCCAGGGCTGACTCTGGTCTGGGGTAAGGCCCCAGACTCCGCATCACTAACAGGCTCCCAGGATGCCACTGGCCCAAAGACCGTACCTCAAATAGGAGGCTCTGGACTACTCCTCTCCAGTGCAGTCCCAGGGCACATCTTCTGCTGCAGAGAAGGGTTTATGTCCACGATCTGTGGCCCCTTGCGGAGTCTGTGAATTCCCCAGTTAACAGAAACAACCCTCAGCAGGGATCCAAGCCAAGTGACTGCGAGAGGGTATGAGGCCCCCCATGTCCACACCCGATGCCTGATTCAATCGCAACCTCTGGGTGGTGCTCAGACTGGTGTTTTTTAAAGCTCCCAGGCTGATTCCAACATGGAGCTGCGGTGGAGTCCTTGGGACAGATTGGGTGTGTTTGTCCCTGTGTCAGATCCATCCCCACAGAACTGGGTTACATCACGGATTTCAAAGATGCTTCCAGGGAAGGGATGGTGAGCCATCTTGTCTCCTGGGGTGCCCCTGGGAAGCACAGCTGGCATCTCCAACCTGGCATGCCCGTAGAGATGCCTCTGTTTCCCCGACCTGTGAGCTTACCAGTGAAGCAGACACTGACCAGGTCCAGTCTCGGAAACTGAGGATCCTGAGAAGGACTGAGCAAAGCTCTGAGCCCTCTTCTAAACTGGGCCTCAACCCGGGCGCTGTTCCTGTCTTCCACCTGCCAGGCCAGTCTTAGCAAGAATCCTGCCATGTCAACTTAACAAGACTGTCTCCCACCCTTGAGCATTTAATCAAGTTCCTGGTCCCCCACCTCTGTGTATATGTCCTTAGGTTATTGTAACAAACACCCCATGCCACTATCTCCTTTTAGTCATTTTCCACTGAAATCCACTGGCCCCCTCGCTCTGCTCCCTAGCTGTAAATCCCCCCGACCCTTTTCTTTGTGGAATGTGGAGTTGAGCCTGATCGCTCTCTTTTATTGCAATAATCTTGAATAATGTCTTCCTCACCACTTTGAAGAGTGGTAGGGTATTTTTTTCCCTAGTATTGCCCCCCTTGAAAAAAGTCACCCAGAAAGTACACAGCCCTGTGTGTGTTTTGGAAGGAAGGGGTTGGCACCACAGTCAAACCAACACAATTCAGACTCTTCACCTTGATATTCAAGGTCTGAGCAAAGACTTCAAGACCCAGACAATGATCTCAAGCCTTATTTACCTCTTAGTTGAGCAAAATTAGATGTTCACTGTTCCTTACACACACCTGAACTTCCCTCCCCACCTGCCTTTGCCAGGCTTTTTCTTCCACCTTCCCATTCTTCAAACCCATCTTCTCCACGTCACAGCAATCTCTCCCCTGGTGACAAGAAAACTTACCCCAAAGGATTTATTCCCCCCATCTTCGATAACTACAGAACCTCCCAGTTTAGATGTGTACATGGCTCTCTGGGAGAAGACTACACAAACTGCATTTCCCAGCCTCCTTGGCAGCTCATGTCGTCACCTGACCAAGTTCTGGCCAATGTGTAAGCAGAAGTAATGTGTGTTAGCTCCGGGGGTGTTCTTATGTTCGCATGCCTCTCCTCCTCTGTTAAAGGAACAGGAGAGTTTCAAAAGTCATCCTGGACTGTGAGGGGCGCTTGGAAGCTACCCATGGCAGAACAGTTGCTGACACTGGAACATCACACCAGCCTTGAGTTCACCCTTCCAGACCTGAATGTAAGAGAAAAATTCCCTTCCCGTTTGTTTGAGCCACTTCTGTTTTGGAATTTTCTGCAACTCACAGATAGTTTACTGTTATTAGAACCATCCTTTTAAAGCCCTGGGAGCATGGACTCTGGACTCTAGTTTACCTTAACCTACTGCACAGAATCATCACTTGTATCTTCTACCTAAGTTAAACAGTAAGCAATCTGCAGTCTGAGACTTGTCTCATTCATTTCCATCTTCCTCTTCCACATGAAGCATTAGGGTTC